ACTAGATTTAAACCCAGCGATTTGACTGTAACGCAGCTGCGTTCATACTGAACGATTCTGTGAACACAGATTCTTTGTGCTGACTAGTCTCGATGTATAATGAAATCGCTTTCGACTGCTTCTTGGTTTCAATCGACCAATAACTAATATCACTTGGTGAATAAATCTACGTTGAAAACATAATTCATGAATAATCCGCATTCAGACATTTATGAAAACAAAACAAGTAGTTCAACGGAATGTAATTAAAAAAATTTTTTGATCCCTTTTACATTTGTAAACTGTATGTATTAACCAACATTCAACCTAATACCGAATATTATAGATCATAGTGGTATAGTCAATATGTTTAAAGTGTTTCATAGGACAAATGACATCCCTGTAACTTGGAGAAAGGGAATACTGAATTTCGACGTTGTAAATGTTAGCTGACTGCCTTGACACAGTTGAGGAGTATATCAAGTACAGCTTTTAAGGGAACATTACTGTATAAGTTAAAGCTTTAAACAAACTAGTTCCTTTGTGTTCTTCAACTGTTGTTTAACTTATTCTTAACTGTATTACGTGAATACCAGTCAGGTACATTTCTAACATAAGAAACAGCTGAAATAACTTTTCTAAACTAGTGTTTCTAAATATTTTTGTTCTAAAATAGTCAGTTTAATATGAAATAACAGAAAAATAAACAGATATGTGACTTGCACGACGTCTCTACCAACTGATGACTCTAAGACTCGTTCATTTGTCGTTATACACCTACGGACAATTTCATCTTTGAAAAATGAATGACTGGTTGCTTGAATACGGCTTTTCTGAGGTGCTATAAGTTAAAATAAATTAACTATCGAAATTTCCATTCCTTTGTCGTCTATAACAGAATTCAAAAACGACATCGTAACACAGGATCACACAATATAGCACCGGGAGACTTTGTATGCGCTAAAAATCAATCTTACCACTACTCATTTGATCGACAAATACAAATAGTGAAGAAAACTTTCGACAAAATGCCAAGCATTGGATATATTTGTTAATTTCAATCTAATACACGTTAGTATTAGTGCGTCGGTGGCACAGTGGTTAGGACTCTCGCCGACCATGCACATGGTCCGAGGTTCGATCCCCTGCCGACTCACACCTGATATCTATGGTTGGCCTGCGAAATTTGGACTACCGATATCCATGCTGAAAATTTCATACTTGTACCTAAAATACGGTGTGGAATCAAGCTGTAAATAAAAAAAAAAGAATATCTTCCAAAAGAGATGGTATGCTTCTAGTCGTCAATTCATTCGTAGTACTGAACACAGTAAATCTCTCAGTAATTGATTCCTATCAATATCTAATGTCAAACGACAGTATCATTCAGCTAAATGATCTCATTACATGCCTACCTGGTAGATGAATATGCATCAGCCCATATAATAACCAACGAGATAGATTAGTTAACGATCTCAACTGATTAGCATACATTAGTAATAGATGTACAACCACGCCTAACTTTAAAATAATTTAAACTTTCGGCAATAAAGTACAACCAACACATGAATCTTCATTCCTATGATTAACAAGTCTGCACATATTCTACAAAGAAAAGAAATATGTGACAAATTAATTTGATAAGAGATATGTGTATTATCCGGTATAATAAGTGATTAGTAAATCGCCTGAATGACTGGGGATTATATTCCACTGTGATAAGTGTTTGAAATCTTCAGCAGTATAAAATACCGACTATTTTTGTAATCTAACATGTGAATAAATAATCCAGTCACATTTAACTGAAAGCTTATTTAGACTATCGTAATGATGATGAAAAATTGTGCTCTTCAATCATTCATTTCTACCTCTCATACTACTTAAATCAGTCTAGGTAGTCTGGGAATAGTTTCTGTCATCTTCAATAACTTTCACATGGTCCCTCGATTATTTGTACTGTTAAGAAGAAATGTGAAGAGACATAGCATGCCTAATTTCTTTTTGATGGAAATAAAGAGACCTAAAAACTGATTTTTCTCTCTCCATGGGTTATTACATTGTCCACTGTCGTCAGACTTACTGATTTCGACTAGTTATCTACTTAGGAAATTAAAAGGACTAGAATTATGTAAAAAATAAGTTTGTTTTAACAGTTCTTCTCTGTTAAGGTTTCTTTGTTCTTCGTTTTTATTTTTTGTCATTTTGACCCAGTTAATTTGTGTGTGTGTATGTATGTGTGTAAATCTTTCCTCTTGTTATTTTCCTCAATGTTTACATTAAAATAATCGGTGAAGGAATATAGGGCTAAATCTGTTTATTCAGTAATCGATTTTTTCTCTCCAGATTTCGAAGTATTAAAGCGAGATAATTAGCTGAGTGTATTTTTAACGCACCGAGCATTGCATAATTAAACATAATAATAATGAATACAATCGATATAGGTGTAAGGTTAGATGTTTACCTATGTAATTGAATAGGTGGACAAGTGTTCGGTAAAAAAGGATAAGTTAATCACGATGACTTTGTGTGTTTTCATCGATTGAGGTTATCGCTGTATGTGTTACGTGCATCTACGCAGCGTACTCCTCAGAAACTCCTCAGGTATATTATTTCCTATCTCGTACATTATAGTAGCATACTTTCACCATTGTCAACGACAGCGTATCTGAATGAATCCATTACTTTGTTAAATCTTGAACTAGCCAATCAACAAAGTCTACTGTTTTCTTTAGGAAGAAAATTGATAAATAGTGATAAAATATTACACGATATTATGAACTTATTATCTACCTATTAGATGTCCATCCTTTTTACAAATTTGAAGATATCATTTAGTCAGTTTTACATCTTTCTCATAAAATGGTTCTAGATATCCTACTAACCGCTTACCTGCTATGATATGGTGAATTAAAGTGTTCGGAATCGGTGACAAAGTGGTAGTCATTTTGTATGTACCTTGGGTAAACTTGAAAGTATAGTAGATATTGTTTGAAATCAGGCTGAGTTGCTTTATTCTTATAAGTAACTTCTCTGGTGTACTACTGTAACGACAAAAGACAAGGGTCAGGCAACAGATTGTTTTTTGAGAAAATCAAGAGATATTTATATATTCTTATGTACTTTATTGTCAGCGGAGAAGCAACCTCTTCTGAATGGTTGTTTTCTTGCTGGAGGTTATTCTGTGCTTCTTGTGACCGTTTCTTAGAAAGTTAAGCGATATATCTGCGAATCGTATTTGCACACGTTAAGTCTACTGTGGTTGGTTGGTGAGTGCCTCAAGGTTAAGCTTTGTTATTGTTTTTTCTCATGACCCCTATTCGGGCGTAAATACTGACGTAAATTGTTGTCTACAATTTCGGCTTTAGCTTTTGCAGAAGTTTTTTGTGCTGCTCTACTTATGTATACCCGCTCACTGTGCGCTTATAAGTAGAGTTAACAAGTTTGGTCTTAGATCTGTTAACCTCTTCACTTGATGACTACATCAGTCCTTCAGTCTGTGACTATAATTTTTCAAACTTCACTTCAACTACGACCCCACTAGCCATCATAGGATTAAACAAAATTTTGGACCAAGAACATTGCTTCTAGCTGCATGATATCAAGACTGATACTTAGACAGGCTATTCACATAATGATCTCCATTTGGATCCGATTATCAAGACCTTTCATCGGTTGAGTATATACATAATTCACCACATCAAATACCAGGTAATTGGCTAGTACGCGTCATAAGACTACTTAAGTAGCTGTAGGTCATTGGTTTAGACAGTCAACCTTCAACCACTAGGTCATAGGTTTGACGCTTTATCCACCAAGTGAAGTTTGTTACACCAAGTAGCATAATTAGATAATAGGCGTGGTTCAGTTCCAGTTGCATGGAAATGCTTAACAAAGAGGCTATAAGGCCTGGCTTAAAATATATCTCCGAAGATTGGAATTTAAAAGTAATTAGTCGGCTTCTGATACTGTACGGAAAAAATTAATAATGAAACAACGAATAACTACTTATCTATTATGTTTGATCTCAATAAAAAACAGTTGAAATGAGAGCTTAAGTAAATCATGCATCATATTCGAATCCGATAGGCCATCACGAATATTACTGGATGTAATGCTGATGTAACTGATGCACATGTTGGTTCTCCACATCTGTAAGACCTAAGCTAAGCAGCCTACACAATCCAGTCCAACACTAAGAAACTTCATGTATTCGATTTCGGGTTAAGTGGATAGAGTTTGATTAATTTCAATGCAGATTTAGTCGCGAAAAGTCTCGAAACTAGAATGAAACAGTGTTGTCTAGTGTTAATTGGCTTTAACCAATTATCTAGATGACTTGCATTGCTGATGAAATAGACTCTGAAATTTCAGGTATTAGTTCCTAGCGTCATCAACCTGATTATTGCTAGCCTTCAGTACGCTCTAACATATAAATCAGTTGTTTATTTTGCAAAGAATACACCGTAGACGGCAGCTAGTCAACAACAGGAGTTAAACTTCAGCATTTATTTTTCACAATATAGTTGCTACACATACCGTGAATACGCTTTTCTTCACAGTGAATACATACACGAAATACAAACGACGAATACTGCGTTGACTTTATTTGGGGGAAACCGTCACCTACTACAACACTGATACACACACGCAGCTGACGAGCCTCAGGTGGGATGAAGTGTTCATCATGCAACCATCAAAAGATGGAGGAGTTAAGCAGTAGAACGTTCATTAACCATGCACGTGGTCCGGAGTTTAATCCCTAACCGACTCACTCCTTAACCTCGTTAGGCAGGTGAGAAAGGAGTGTTGGGCGGGAAGCTAGCAACGTCACCTCGCAAAAAAAAACTACTGCTACAGAAACTTAAAACATCTAGTTCAAAGACCTACTTTTCATTCGAAACGTAAAGGAATAAAATAAGTAAATATAATAAAAAAAATAACAGCTATGAAATAATCTATACATTATTAGGGCATCATAATTTCAGGAGTTCATATTTATTTATTTATTTTTATTTGTCCAGTCTACATCCATCAGTTATTTTGAGCGTGTAGCTGAAGAACACATTCAAAATGCTATAGAACGTGGAGAATTTAATAATTTATCTGGACAAGGTCGTCCACTTGATTATAATAAAAATGTACATGTTTTTGGTGATTCAACTGTTACACGTGTCAATCAACTATTAGCTAATCAAGGCTTTTTACCGAAATGGGTTCTACTAAATAAAGAGATAAATTCACGTTGGAGTATTGCATTTAATAAATTAAAGTCCATTTACAATACAGAAGGCAATGTAAATTCTTCAGCATGGCTAAAAGCTTTTCAGGTAAATCAATGTTGTTTTAGAATATGCATTCATTTAAAATAAGACATTTGTTTTATGTATATATTATAGATACAAATTAATATTGTCTTGTTCATAATGCTGTTATCGATTTTGAAGGAGAACGTAAGAAGTGTCAAAAGAGTAAGGGAACTTCAGTGGAACAGCTGCATCTCACTCTCAACTGAAAGCGAAACCAAACTTGCATTAATAAAATGGAAACTATTGAGATCACTAATTGTGCACGAAAAATGATGTGAGTATTAGCACAATTTGTAGTCTTAACTGATATGAACAATTTACCTCTAGTCAAATTAACCAGTGGTGTTTGCTATGCGTTCATATACGTTCACATCATACTTATTATGGGGACTGATGATAGATAAGGTTTTAGTGCAAACTTATGGATAGAGAATCGAACAGTAGATGACAGAACCATAGCTGTATTACTTCTAAATCAAACTGGCTTTCATTCATCTTAAACAGTGCAAGTTTGTGTACTGATTCAGTCCTATACGAGGTGTAAATATAATACCACTATTCATACTTTGGAATTCGTATTGTTATTCTGTTTATTAGTAGTCCTTCCAACTACCCAACCATAACGAAGGTTGGTTTCATATTCGTAGTTCACCGAAAAACATAACTGCTTAAATAAATGTTTAACTGGATGGGATCTGTTTAGGCGGCGTTGCTGATTCGTGTGAAAGGCTTACAAAAGCTAGCAGTACACAGGATTACTCATACATTTAACCGTTCTTAAATAAGATTCAGAAGTAAATTAAAGATTCGTCTTACTAACCTTACTAACCAATAACCTAAATTCAATCTTGAAAATTGGCTGTGTGTGGTGGCGTTCGCCTGCAATCTAGTAGAACAGATTTCTGGTACATGGGAACTCATGTTGATCCAGAGACAGCTTTGAGCTTGCTGAACTAAAAGCTAGAAAAAGTATTGCTTCACTAGACACACACCATGGAAAATAATTTATAACTAGACACAGTACTGTGACTGTCACCATTTGGGAAATGTACAAGGTAGTTGACAATTACTTACAGACAGTTTACATGACAACTGTATTAAGAGACAAATCGGAAGGCTTTTTAAGCCCATGATTAGTGGCAAAAGAGATATTAAGGACTTATGAAGATGCTCATCCACAATCCTACGCGTATAAACTAACTGGAACTAGATCTGTCCATATGCGTTGTTCATCTTGCGGGCTATTGAAACGAAGGAAAAAACTCTCCATCGAGAAGACACGTTCACTCTTTGTCATCTCCTACATCTTTCAATTCCTCATTATTCTCCATGTAGTTATTCTCTGCTAGCGTACACTTCTACTCAGTAGAATGGCTATTTCGAAGATTTCCCCGTCTCCTCCACCTTCATGTGCTGTATGGATTGTGGAGACTTCAACTTGTTCGCTTTCGTGCAAACTTCTGCGTCGGAAATTCACCTCAGTTGACAAGAGAATTTACTCTCCTCTGATGAACACAGGAGAATCAGGTCGACTGATTTACTTACTACCTGAGATATAAGAGCCAATAGTCATGCAAAGACTGAACACACCTCTGGAAACAAACCCAAGACAAGCGAGCAGATTTCGGGCTCAGATGAGAATGCATTGGTCAAAACTTCACATTTCGAAACATGGACATCACAGAATCCCACATTCGTCTCATTTCACTATCTGCAAGGCGACTTTGACTACATCCATTGACAGCTTTCTTGCTATGTCCGTCCAGCTAACAACCGAGTGATGAGGAATGCCTGCAATATTTAGTGACTTGCTCAAATCCACCCAGATGTGAAAGACGACAACGAGAGATGGCATCTGATATGGAGACAATAAGCAGTAGTACTCGTCAGGGATCCCATGTCACCGTCCTTATTGAATTCCATCGTAAACTGACTAATGACTGAGACTCTGGTCAACTTCAATCGACTGACTTCAAGGATTGACATGCCACTACTAGGGAAGAGTTTGTTTGATTTGGAGTGTGCAGACACACTGACAAAATGGAATATTATAAACACTGAGTATCTTTGATATACAACTCGACTCTGTTTAACTTAAGATAAGATAGAAGGGTTTTGTTCTTGAAGCGGAATTAAACCGGTCTGCCTACGACTACCAATGATCTTTCTGACCACAGTAGGGTGGATCATTCATCAGGTTGTGGAGAGTGAGAAGACGGGCATACGGCAGACTCATGAAGAGACCCTATAAAATCTTGATTTCGTGAATGCTTCAGAATAAAGCGAGGAAAACAGTTTTTGCAGAATAAAATGGTTCCCTTATTTATTTCTCAGCTGCTTACAATCAAAGAAGGTAATTAATTTTATGTACAGAACATTTGGTTGTTGACGGAACCGTGTTATTGTGCACAAACTGTTGTTTTTGCTAGATTCAGATTCATAAAGGGAGATAAATGCAGGAAGTAAGTGATTTGATTCTCATGTTGCATAAACTCGAAAAAGTACGTGAGAAAACCAACAGGTCTACAGAAGAGGCAGCGGAGACAGGGTTCAGGGTGAATAAAGAGTAGGCAGAGGTGACAAGTACTAGTCATCAGTTTGAGAAATCTAAATTAAGTCGTGTCTTTCACTTTTCCAGAAAGCATCGTTTCATCTACAGGCGGCACAAATAATAAGGATGTCAAAGCCAATCAAGATAAAATGGAGAAAGTGAGACAGGAGTCGTTACTCTGAATTTGGTGTGGAAATCCACGCCACAAGGAAAAGAATCTGAATTTTCAACACTGGTGTCGATTCAGTTCTTCTATGTCGTTCAGAGACTTGGTGTGCACGTCGCTAAAGGCTACTGCAAGCTTTTGTCAACAGCTGCCTTCGCTCACTCGATGCTCAAGATACGATGGTCGACCGGAAAGAGTAAGCAAGCAACAATTAACTGACAGCCAACTAACCAAAAGCCTGTTTCTCAACAAATATGGTGAGGGAAATGGAGATGGATTGGACATGACCTGAGGGGACTTTTCAGTGACATCGTGCGCCGAGCCATAGATGTGACACCCAGGCTGGGTGTCTGGGAGTGATATAAAAGTTGTGCGAGGGTGTAGGGGTAATGTAGGCTCTTGTGAAGTAGTGGAGCCAGCTGAAAGTGGTAGTATAGACCTGAGTGCAATGGAGGTGTGCCACTGAAGCCTTATGTTCCACTTGTGATGCAAGAAATAAATGATATGGTGAGTGCTTTGTGTAACATTTAAACAAATAACTCAAATCCCCAACTTCTTTAACTTCATTTTTTATAACACTTTTACGGTTTGTATTTTTTCGCAAATAATAATTTCAGTAAACATATTTTAAAAAATATCAAATTTCGAATAGGATTTCGAGGCTGAAGTGAAAGAATTGAATCAATTATTAGATCAATACAATCTTATAGTCCCTAGTCATCATGTGCAACGTTTTCATTTCAATACTAAATCCACTATCGAGCAGTTGATGACAGCTGAAAATTCACAAGAAACAGAAGAGAAAGACAATCCAACCAATGATCAGAATGAAAACGATCCACCACCGAAAAGTGATAATGATAAGAAGAGTCTATGGGATCCACGTTTTATGGCAGAAGTTATGAGCGATTTCTATCGTGAACTGGTTAAAGCATATGTGAGTATTATACGAGGATTTAAAGATCATAAATAAAATTGAATGAAGTGGAATACAAAATTTATATTATAGGCAGAAATACATAATGATATGAGACTCAGATTTCTTGTTTTGAAACGTTGAAGTTGTCAGTTGATCCAGTTGAACATATCCTACATTGTTCATCTACAGGACTAGGATAGGCACTAGGAACAAATGACATAAAAATTAATGATATTACACTGATTGATGTTAGGTGATTGGAGGTAGTGGGCAGAAAGCCATGCACCTAAGTTTCATACTTATTGACTGTCGTCAGCAAGGCGCAGTCACAGACATTTCCACCTAGATATTTAGACTCACGATTAACCTTCTATAGCAGTGGATACTAATGTCTTGTCTGGTCATTTATATTGATGTTACAACACTGGGTGACACCGGTTCGAGGTTGGAATCAGTTCTTTAGGGGGTAGAGGTCAACGCATTGTTGATGACTGCCGACACTTACAAAACTTAGGTCCAGGACTTTCTATCACTTGCCTCTAACCACCTAACACCAACTCAGATTGCATAGTGATGGCGAGTTACCCAACCAGGTGACTACATTGCCAACTTCACTGGTAGAATTCAGTCAGTACCAAGACTAGTTATAGTTACTGGATAGGTGTTTTGGCTGTTGTTGAACTTGTGAGTTTCATTGAAACAACTATCAACTACCTGACATTCATTCAGTGTACACATCAAATGTTGTAGTGCATCGACAATTCTATGCTTTTTGTCAATTTGTTTTGAAGATGAATGTTGATTGTTTCTTTATGCGATAAAAAATTCTCTAAAAGGCGGGATAAAAATAGATGTCGCACGAAATATTGATGGTGATCAGTTGTTATTACTGTATGATCATGTTACAAGAGATTCGATGGGAGTAATGATGGTCAGACAAGCAGATTCCTCGACTCGGAAAGGCCAGGTCTCAGAGACGTAGAGCAAAACTAAGAAGACGGAAGCATTGTAAACCTAATATTTGACGGTCATGCTAACGTCGTGAATAGGCCAAACATACACCAGGACGGCATATTCCAAACTGGCTTGAACTATATACTCAGAGATCTCATTCCTTAGCATACCATAGGTGAAGGGAGTAGAATAAGGCTTTACCTGACAAAGGCTGTGCACGCGTGGACACACGACAGAATTTTAAGAGAAATACTGGAGCTCATTTAAGGGGGGATTTTTCATGTACCACGTTATAAGTAATACTATTGGTAAGAAGGCTGATGATATTACTAAGTTATACATGCTGGAGTAGAAGGAGCCTGAATCGAAAGAACTACTGGTGGAAACTTAAATGCTAAAGTCAACGAACCATATATCCAGTCAAAATTGAAATGACCAGTAGTCGAAGTGAATTCCTTAGTTAACGTTGTTTTCCTTTCAAGAAAAGAATAAAACACTCGAGTGAACTACGAGAACAGAAACTGTTACCTTGTCTAACGTGAGATAATAATGCATACAGGATTCTTCGAAACGACTCCTACCTCAAGGATACGCAGTGTTATGGTTGAGAGTTCTGACCACTTCACTTATTTGAGAGGTTGGTTGCATCAGCTCTGATACACTGACTGACTGCTGATCAAATCTCAGCTCGGATACAAAAGACTCGTCTGGGATTTGCCAACTTCCGCCTTCTCTCGTGCACACGTCATATCCGACTATCCATCAAAGCACGTGTGCTCTCACTGCTCATCAGTTGCCTCCGTCCTCCTTCTTCACGGCTGTGAGACACATCCGTCGTAGGAAGTGGAAGATATCAAGAGACTAGCAGTCTTCAAGCATAGGTGTTCGCCTCCTATCTCTACTATTCAGTGGTATAATATGGCGAGTAATATTGACCCTAAGTATACAGTGTTGGGTGAGGAGGGGAAAGCAATCGATCAGGTGGTGAAGCTGTATCGAACGAGATGGACGAGACGCGTATTGTGAATCGAAAGCCATCGACTTCCACGTTGTCCAATGGTAGCTGAGATCGGATTGCGTTGGGAAAGCGATAGCGGTGGTCAGACCGAAACATGGCACCAATCCATCAAGTCTCCGACTGTTGCTTTGCCACTCTCAACTGCAAAGACGCGTTCACTCTTTGTCATCTCCTACATCTTTCAATTCCTCATTATTCTCCATGTAGTTATTCTCTGCTAGCGTACACTTCTACTCAGTAGAATGGCTATTTCGAAGATTTCCCCGTCTCCTCCACCTTCATGTGCTGTATGGATTGTGGAGACTTCAACTTGTTCGCTTTCGTGCAAACTTCTGCGTCGGAAATTCACCTCAGTTGACAAGAGAATTTACTCTCCTCTGATGAACACAGGAGAATCAGGTCGACTGATTTACTTACTACCTGAGATATAAGAGCCAATAGACATATAGAGACTGAAGGCAGGTTTGTTGACAATGCATTCCCAATCTAACTTTGCCACAACACCTCGTATTGGATACAGTTCAATGCCGTCTTCAGCTCAAGAAGTATATGGCAAATGTTGGACTCTAGTAAGTGTGCCTATATACCAAAATCTATCATGGAGTGGAGATACACCCTCTTCCCGATGTTTTTCTCCTGATGCACGCCTATTCTAGCAATATCATGGAACCTAGAATTTTAGATGTTGTAAAATGACCTAATCCCACTATGATTATCACCAGCGATGTCCACCACTCCAATAGGAGTACCTGAGGTCCCCACGTCTCATTAGTAATGTCTTAGTTAACCCAATTAATAGTTTATCACCACCACCTTTAAACACTTCCGGAGACATCAGGTCTCACTGTTTTGCTTCGTTTAAGATTAGAGACAGCATTTCCAACCTCAATTACACTTAGATGCCCGATGTCTACATCTTAGGTAGGTTTTGAACGCTAGGCAGTTTTAGCGTGGCCATGGGTGGGTTAAGTTTCTCCTCAGTGTTTCCTTCGACTTTCCTATCGTTTGACGTGAGAAGTAATTATAAAAACTATTCTTTTGGGAAACCTATTTGGCTAGCAAATGGTTTTTTACCATTTTTCTGGAGTTCAGTCGGAAACTGTCAAACTTGCATTAGTGAAATCTGAGATTAACATTTTGAAAGCTGTATTGGTAAAAATGAATATCCTAAAGTATTTTGGAAAGCGCTTAGGCGTAACCGTACATATCTGAATTCCAAAACATTAAAGCGCTATACATTTAGTCGCACTGACGCAATCAGTTCTCGTGTTGTAGAGTTAAACAGGAAAATATGTTTGAGAAGTCAAGTTCCGTTTGGACTTTCAACTGATGAACGCCTGCAATTCGAGGAATATATTCCTCTTGTAATCGAAAAATAGTCACAGTCTTCTAATCTCAAAAATACTGACAGCCTCAAGTAGGTAGTAGCAGAAAAAAGAGATTTCCGACTGATCTCAATAAATATTTATTCAATTATTCTTCCATCGCTCTTCCTGAAACTCAACTAAAAGCCCTATCACTGGGCGCCAAGTTCTGTAACAGTTCGTCCAAAGTCAACATATTACATACTCAAGTGCAGTTCGAAAATCTAATTAACCAGACCACCGATCTCACGCTCACATCACCTCAGGAATTCCAACACTTTAAATCTACAGTCCTTGATTGCTGTTATCAGTTTACTAGTTCAAAACATAGCTCGAATGATCTTCTAACCAAAGAGCATATAAACCAACTTAAAGAACTAGAGAAGAATAATGTTCTTATCATATGCCATCCAGACAAAGGTGTGTGTGGGGGGGTATTATAGTTATGAATCGCCAAGATTATAAGGATAAAATCTCAGTGATCCTTTCTAACCTATTGAAATTCGCTAAACCCGATTGTGAAAAGAACAAGACACATCTAACTGAAAATCAACTGACTGATGTCTTAAAGAATATGAGGAATAAGTCAGTAATCTCGTCAGATATATATATATATATATATATATATATATGAACCCATCCGACCAGTAGGCTCCATAATACCACGTTTGTATGGACTACCGAAAATTCACAAGATTACCCCTCCGTCCAATTCTCGATATGGCGGGTTCTCCTTATCACGGAATCACTCAATGGCTAGCTGAAATACTGGAACCTATTAGAAGGCAAGTGTCTAAGTTTTTCCATTGATGATACATTTAAATTTATTGAGAGTATTAAAGATTTCAATATCTCAGAAAAAGTCATGTTCTCATTAGATGTGACTTCGCTATTTACCAATGTACCGCTCATGGAAACTGTTTGCTATGTATGTGATTGATACACATAGTTTAGAAATCGGGTTTACGATAATCCACCTCAAAGAACTTTCATTGCGATCCATGTTGAATGTTCAGTTCACCTTAAATAAGGAGATTTTTAGACAGAGAGAAATGGCATTGCGATGGGTTCACCACTGGGTATTTTGCTGGCTGATTGTTTTATGGCAAAGCTTGAAAATTCTCAACTCAGTCAAACCATCGATCATTTCGACATTTATAAAAGATACGTAGACGACACTTTCGTTATCTGCGATAATAACGTAATTCTTGATGATATATTGTTTACTTTCAACAACTGCCATCCTTCTTTACAATGCACCATAGAAAAGGAATCGGAACTAAGTATTCCGTTTCTTGATATATGCCTTAGTAGACGTAATGACGGATCTCTCCATCCACCGGAAACGTACATGGAACGGACAACTAATTAATTTTTATACTTGGGTGTCTATCTCCAGGAAAAGGAACCTAATTCACTCGCTCTGCTTTAGGATAAGGAACATTTGTAGGTCTGATTGCGTTGACTCAGAGCTTGACTTCCTAAAAACCAAGCTCGCAGAAAATGGTTACCCGAACCGATTCATTGGCAGTAACACAAAAGATAAGTAATCTAAACTGGTCACCGACTCGGTTCCAAAGGAAACCTTATCCATCAACTTGGAATTCAAAGGTAATCAAGCTTCAGATATGCTCAAAAACCGTCTCTCTAAAGCAGTCAGTAAGGCGTTCTTTGCAGCAAAATCACAAATGACGTTCACCAGCCGCAGGATTGTTCTGCATCTCTGTAAAAAATAAGCTCCCCCGTCACCTCCATGTGCATCTATCAGATCACCTGTTCTTGTGGAGCAAGTTAAATTGGCCGTAGCTAGAGGACGCTTTCCACACGGATACGAGAACATATTCCAGCATGGTTTTACAAAGGAGAAAGCAAGTGTGTGCAAAGCTCTATTCTAGAACACCTGATCGACTTCTGTCACTCTGACCATGATTTTAAGATCATCTACCGAATCCACGCTAACTTGCCGGCCGCGTTTTCTTCGTTATAGACTTCTAAAGACAGCGGAGGCCTTGGCAATTCATGACTGTAAGCCAGAATTTTGTGTACAAAAAAAGTATGCACAATCCCTACTTTCGTCTTGGCCGTAGAGGGATAGACATTTGTTTATTTAGTTATTCTTTGTACCTTTCCCTTATTACTACCATTCTCACTCTGAATTGTTTCCGCTTGTCCCATTTGTCATTCTAAATGCAAAATTATTACTTTTACAATATTGAATTCTATCTTATCAAATTTCACACCATGTTATGTATCATTTTACAGTCGCCTACTAATCCTATAATTATGTACCCCTTTCCAAAATCTATACACCTTGTATTATTCTATATGTGACATTAATTGTTTTGCTACTTGACATTTAACTATGATTATAATCACAAATATTTTAATTGTATTTCATACTATTATTATTAATCCATGTATTCACACCTTTGATCTAACTCCCTCATATATATGTCTGTCTGTCTGTTTTCGACATAGAACTTTGCACAAATGTGCGGAAGTTCAAGTCGCCACATTCCGTGTAGCACGCGAAGCAAGAGAAGAAAGTACAAGAAAAGCATAATAGAAACAGTGAGCAGAGGTGTGAGACAAAGGAGTAATAAAGAAATACAAAACAGTTTCATTGGAGATCATAAGTCACAGGGAGTGGATGCATCTGCGCCACTGAGAACGATTTTGAGCCATGTCACCAATTGTTTCCAACCATAGATTTTTACCGTCCCGAGGACCCCAGCCTGGAAGTCTACACCTTCCTACGTGGCTTAGACCAACTGTTGTGGATTTCATTGACTGATGCCAAGTTTTTGTTTGACCGCCGCTAGCTTTTTTCCAGCCTGACCCTATATCCGCTAACATTGCTCGTCGAGGGAGGCGATGGCTTGGCATACGTAACACATGTCCTAACCATCTCAGTCTTTGTAGCTTCACGACTTCGTCGATTGATTTCCCCTGTTTACCTAGAACTCTACGCCTAACCTCCATGTTGCTCACCTTATTATGCCACTTTACACGGGAAATAGAACGCAGGCACCTATGATCAAAGACAGCTAGTCTTTTCATGTCTTCCACTCTCAGTGGCCAGGTCTCACAACCATAAAGGAGGACGGAGCGGACTGATGAGCAGTACACCCGCCCTTTGGTCGATAGTCGAACATCTCGTCTACGCCAGAGTCGGCGTAAACTAACAAATGCGAAACGAGCCCCTTGTATTCGTGCTGAGATTTCGTCAGAGATCAGCCCGTTGGGGCTGATGGTACTTCCCAAATAAGTGAAGCGGTCAACGTGCTCTACCACTTCACTTCCTATTTTTAAACTAGGCGTCGATGTAGTCCAGTCCTGTAACATCATCTTGCATTTGGCGGGAGCGAATCGCATGCCAAACATTCGTAGATTGCGGCTCAAGGTGTTTAGAAGACTCTGCATTTCGTCAGCGTCTTCGCCTAGAAGGACTATATCGTCTGCATATTCCAAGTCAACGAGATTATTCCCCGGTAGCAAGTCAATCCCTGAGTCGCTGAAGTCACCTAGGGTTAAGTCCATTAACACATCTATGATGAAGTTGAATAGAAAAGGAGATAATGGGCATCCTTGACGGACACCACTGGTCGTCATCAGTTCAGATGACAGCTCGCCGTAAGCCCTCACCTGGCTGTATGAGTACGAGTAGAGTGCCTTAATCAGTGCAATATATTTTCTCGGAATTCCCTTTACAGCCAAGCATCTCCAGAGAACTTCCCGATCGACAGAGTCGAATGCTGCCTTTAGGTCAAGAAATATAATGACTGTTGGACGCCGGTAGGAATGCCTATGTTCTAGAATCTGTCGGAGGGTGAAGATATGATCAATACACCCTCTTCCTGGTCTAAAGCCTGCCTGGCTCTCTCGTGTTTGTGCTTCCCGAGCACCACTCAGTCTACGCATGATTATTGAGCCTAAGACTTTAGATACTATATTAGTCAAGCTAATCCCTCTGTGATTATCACAGGAAGACTTGTCTCCCTTCTTGTATATGGGGATAATCAGTGACTTACACCAACCCGATGGGACTTCTTCTGATTCCCAGACGCTGCCTAGTACCTCAGTTAATCCGGACAGTAAGCTGTCTCCACCGTACTTAAATACCTCTGGAGTCATTCCATCAGGTCCCGCTGCTTTGCCTAGTTTCAGATTGGTGACAGCTTTAGTAACCTCAGTTAGTGACGGAGGACCTGTGTCTATATCCCATTCAGGGAGGTGTTGGATGCTCGGAAGGTTGAGCGTGGCTGTGGGCAAATTAAACTGCTCCTCATAATGCTCTTTCCAACGATCCAGTCGTCTATCCTGGGAGCTAATTATAGTGCCATTTTTTTCCGAGATTGTCTCACTAATGATTTGTCTTCTCCCACCCGTTTCCCTGATGAGTCCAAAGAGTTGCCTGGTGTTGCCTATCCTCGAAGCTTTCTCCATCTCTTTGGCTTTTGTCGCCCACCACTGTTCACGGTCCTTGCGGAGACTTTTCGTAAGTTTCCTCTTGTGCAGCTTTCGCTCCTCATTGAATTCGGAGCTCGCCGGAATAAGTCTTCTAGCATCTATCAGTTCGGATGAGGCGGTGGAGATCCAGTGGTTTTTACTCACCTTTGGGTTTACCTTATTCACAGCTTTTACAGCTGTATCTATGGCTGCCTGGATATTTTTCCAAGCTTCTTCAGGGTGAGCACAGCTGTCGAACACAGATATGTGTTTAGCTAGTTCTTCCTCAAATACGGATTTAGTTTCCTGATCGAGCTGGGGACGTGATGGTTTTACCGCCAGCTGTTTCCTACGTCCGTTCAGTCGTAAGCACACCCGAGCGCGGACCAGTGCATGGTCGGTATCTACGCACGTGTTCCAGAAGGAGCGACAATCTCCTACCGACCCACGCCAACGATAGCTTATTGCTATGTGGTCTATTTGTGTCCAGCGTTGGTTTGATGAAGGGGGTCTCCAAGTCAAACAGTGTCTCTCCTTGTGTTTGAAGTTAGTGCTTACAAGAAACAAATGATTATCAGAGCAGAACTGTAGGAGACGGTCACCGTTGTCGGTTCGCTGGCACGGAACTCCATAGGTGCCACCGACATCCTTCTCAGATTGACACAATTTCCCTACTTGAGCGTTAAAGTCACCAGCTAGAACGACTATGTCTGAGCGTTTAGCCTTTCCACCAAACTAGACAGCTTTTGGTAGAACTCATCCTTCGTTTCATCTGAACTGCAGTCAGTGGGGGCGTAGGCGGAGATTACGAAAAGGCATCGGCGAGTAGTGCAGTCCTTCCTCCTTCTTACTGATCCGTTCAGGCGGACAGCACACATTCGGCTATCTACCGGGATCCAGTCAAGCAATGTCTTTTCTGCCCTAGTACTCAAAGCTATCCCTACGCCAGCTAATCCTCGTGAACTAGCTGTGGCATCTCCTGACACCCTCAAGGTGAATTTTGCAGATTCAACCTGTTGGCCAGGTGGGGTTAGGTGAATAACCACACTTGGGTCTTGTATGCGTGTTTCTGAAACACAGCATACATCAATGGCTCGTGATGCTTGTTGTCCTATTTGGCAAAGTGTCCTAACATTAAGAGCTCCTATATGAAATTGGTGGCGCGGCTTTAAGAGGCTGTCGGTGGTGGTTTTTTGGCTTCCATCGTTTTTAGTGGACGCAGAGTGGAGAGGAAGTGGAGAGCTATCAAGTCGAGGAGTTGCATCAGTGGAAGGAAGGCAAGATGATAGAGATGAAGATGAAGAAAAGATGAGTGAGTAATAGAGAGGTTTCGTGTGCATTTCGGATTGTGAGGGCGATTGTTACTTCCCGGCTGCCCACACCGTGGAAGTTGGTTGCGTGACCGCAGAGCCCAGGGGACAACTGCTTGAGGCCGGTCACACGCGGCCTGTTTTTGTTCGTTTCTTTTGTTTGGTGTGTCTCAGTAGCATATTTATCACTCCTGCCCTGTGACACGGCAGCAGGAAGCGCGGTCGTTGTTAATCCGGGCCACGGCCGATCCGGCATGAAATTTTGTGATTTTGTATTGGACATGATGTTGGATTGGGTAGCTGCTTTTTGTTTAACCGCTATCCAAACAACCTGCCTGGCATGGTAGACCTCAAGAGACATAAGTCTCAGCCAGTATAGCTTGAATATATCATTGCGGTGTTCAAGCCCGACCACCACGTCAAGGTAGCAGCTTTCGGTCGGGCCTCGTATATATATATATATATATATATATATATATATATATATATATATATATATACACCATTGTACAACTTGATAATACATTTCTTGGAAAGGGTATCTATATTTCACAGCGTATTTACAAAATCGAACATAAGTTTATCAACAATTGCGAATAGGTATCATCGGGCCTCGAAAACGCTCACTGAAATATAAAAAAAAGGTAAAATCAGTTAAGCAAAAAAACACGATAAAAAAATTTTATAATCTAGTTACATCGAACAATTATCTGCAACCGTGATTCATTGTCAACATAGAGAGCACTACTTCATAATTATTTCTTATTTCATTCAAAAGCACAAACTTGGTTACAATATGGACACCAAGAAATGATGCGTCATAATCAGTAGAAGTGACTTCTATGGAAAAAAAATGCTAAAGCAGAGTAAATAATAAAAACATTATAGAAGACAAAGACTATTCAATGAAAGAAATGAAGAAACAATTCGACTTCCTAGAGTGTTTCCCATTCAAAGTATTGATATCAACACTTTGCTAGTAAGTGAAGCGACTAATGTAATACTGTTTTATAAACCGCCTACTACTTTTTTTATTCACTGTCTCCAAGAGAGCAAACTTCAAGAGTTAAGACTGTGGTCACTAGGTTGATAAGCTTATACTGTGGCGAGAGCAGGCTGCTAGCCAATTGGTAGACATTAATTTACGTCAATGCCCATGTCGCTAATATTGGCCGTGAGAAAATATGAACAAGACTGACTCAACAACTAGTCACAGCAGACTTAACGTGGGTCAATACGATTCGCAGATATATGGCTTAACTTTCTGAGAAACCAGCCACAAGCAGTACAGAATAGCCTTGAGCAAGAAACAACCAATCAGAAGACTGTGTTTGTCTGCTTGAATAAACTATAATAATGTACATGAAATATATATAAATACGTGCTGATTTCCTTAATAAACGATCTGTTGCCTGGCCCTTGTCTTCTGTTGTTACAATAAAATATTATCATTATTATTATTAATGGTGGTGGTTGAAAAATTGAAAGTTAACTAAAATAACAATTAAAGACTTCAGTTTAAGAATGGAAACGTGACAAGGTGATGTAGACTGCGACAAGTTGAAGACGAAAATAACAAGACAGATTCTTTTTCTCAAAAAGAAAATAAATCACTCTTTTAAACTTTTAGTCACACTAAGTATCGGTCTAAGTGACAACTCTTCAAAAATGTTCTGTTGATTCTTGCAGAGATCATATTAAATTCTAAATTGGAAGTCTTTGGTGGATTGGCTTGCACCAGCTACATGTTGATGTGGTCGGTTTGTCATCTTCAATTCAATTCTACCACATAACAGACAGTCTTACTCTATTCAAAATCGTACTGGTTATCAAATAACTGTATATTACTAGATAAATGAAATACAGTAATACTATTTCGAGTTTAATTATCTTTTGTGTGTATGGCATACATTTGGAAGTTGGTGAACGCTCTTTTTGATTACCACTTAGTGATTTCAAGTTTTGATAAGGCGTCAGTGATAAGAAGTATTAGTGAATAATTTCATTCTTATTGATACTGCTTATCCAGCCAAACTATTGTCGACATGTACAAGTACCTTGAATATGTTTTCGAATGAAAACAGAAGACAAACTCTCAAATACGAATTGTGTACATTACTATTGTGATTCCTTTGAGTTGCGAGTGGAAAACAGGGCTTCAACAACACAACTCCACTTTGTCCTATCTTCTGCCATCCTCCTTCAGTTGGGTCCACGATTGAACATAATTTCTTATCGCCTTCTTCCCACCACACGATCTCCCCTCACAGTGACGAACCACTCGTCGCTTCCGATTTGGATTCCACTTGAGCAATCGCCTGGTGCGCGATGTCATTCCACGGTCTCGTCAATGTATGCCTGGTCAACCCATCTCAATTTTCTCTTACATATTTGTCAAGCGATTGACTTTTGGTTAGTTTGTTTCCAGTCAGAGTTTCTTGTTACTAATTCTTTCTGGCCATCTGATCTTCAGTATTGAGCCAACAAAGAAAGTTGTGGATAAAAGTCTGTAACCTGTTGGAAATCCTCTTCGTGACACGCTGGCCAAGTTCTGACCCGTATATAGAAGTAATGGCCGACTTCACATTTGTGTTGAAAATCCGAATCTTGTTCTTCATGTTGAGGCAGAGTGCAGAAGATTTCTGAACTGGTTTCAGGTTGATGAAGACGTATCTTGCCTTTCCGATTCTGACTTTGACATTTTCATCCGTTTCAACTGCCTGTAATTGAAACAATGCTTCCTAGATAAATGAAAGAAGTAGCTTCCTTCAAATCTCTCCCGCTGATGGTGCTGGTTATTGTTGGTGGTGGTTGTCTATCTTTATCACCCCCGTCTTCTCTGTGCTCAACTGGAGTTCTGTCTTCGCTGACAGTTTCTTCAGCCAGTTTGTTGGTTTTCGCCTGTAAATCTTCGAGTTTGTGTGAAGTTAAATATAGGTCATCTACGAAATCCATATCTTCCACAGCCTTCTTATCAGTGAGTGCAGCGTATTCCCGTCTCCTCGCTCCCAAACACAGTCTAACGCATAATTCAGTCCACCACAATTAAGAATATCATCGGTGACAGTGAACAGACAGCCAGTTTGTCTGAATCCTGTATGCACTTAGAACGCCTCGCTGTTTTCCGTTGTGGACCACCTGACTGACACGTGGCCAGCATTGTCATATAGCCAGCTGTTGAATGAAGTTGACAAAGAATTGACGTACGCCACAGTGTTGAAATAGTTCCTAAATTACATTTCGGTCAACGCTTTCTGGTGAAGGCATTTTCGAAGTCGATGAACTTGAAGTAGAGGTTTGTCCTTCAGTTTCCGGATACTGAACTTGAGTTGTGGCCCGTGTCCAGTTGTTTTGAAGGAATTCGGCCTCACCTCAAAGGTTCCTACAACTAGATGATGGTTTTAACTCGCCCACATTTGCTCCCCTTCTCGACTTTGAGATGAAATCTATCTGGTTCGTAGTGAGTCCGTCAGGCGAAACGCAAGTTGCTTTGAGTATATTCTTGTGCTTGTACACGTTGCCTCCAATCACCAAATCATTCAAAGCGCAGAGTTCTGCGAAGACTTGTCCGTTCCCATTCATTTCGTCGAGAGCCCCTCCACCCATGATGAGTTCTCTTCCTGTATTATTGTAACAACAGATGACAAGTGCCAGGCAACAGATCGCTTTTGGAAAAACTCAACAGATATTTATAGATTTTTATGTATATTATTATTCGTTATTGTTAGCAGAGAGGTTACGTCTTCTGATTGGTTGTTTTCCTGCTGAAGGTTATTCTGTTATCTCTTTGTTGCCGTTTCTTAGACAGTTCGTTGATATATCTCATAATCGTATCTGCCAAGTCTGTTGTGATTGGTTGCTGAGTTAGTCTTTGTTCGTTTTTTTCTCATGACCAAGATTTGGGACGTAAATATTGACGCAAATTGCTGTCTACCAATTTTGGCTAGGAGACAGCTGTCGCCACATTATCTGCTCCCAGTTCGTTTGGCGTTCATATCACCCATAAGGATTTTGATGTCACCACTCGGGATATTGTTCATTACTGTTGTTGATATCTGTAAAGCTCTGCCTTCTTGTCTTGCTCTACTTTGGTTGTGGGTGCGTAGCATTCGATAATTTTAACCTTCCTTCCTTTTGAGTTGAATCTTGCTGTCATGATATTGGTTCCCAACGCACTAGAGCTTTTGCTGCCACTGGCGACATCATTATAGCCATTCCCTCAATGTGTTCGTCGTTGTCGTTTGAGTGGCCGGAGTAGGTCATTGACTCTCCCGCTGACAATTCAGATGATCCACACTCGTCGTATCTGCTTTCGCAGATACCCAGTACTTCTGTGCCATATCTTTGCATTTCGCTGGCTACCTGGGCAGCCTTCCCAGCCCCGTACATTGTACGAACATTCCACGCACCCATTCTTATTCTTGCTTTCATCGAATGAAGACACGCCGGCTGATTGAATGGCTTCTCGAAGGCTTTCACCAGCCCGCATCAATTCGCCTCTCCAATTCGAGCAACGAATAAGATTTTTATTTGAAGTTTTTGTATTTTTAATATATATTTTTGTATGTTGAAGTTTCTCTAGCGGTTTGATAGGTTTAGTGGTGTAGGGTTGCTAGCCCTACGTTCAACCATTCCTCTTTACCCGGCCTTGGGACCGGCTAGAAAACTAGCAAGCTAGTTAACTAGGCGAAGTTGAATTGTGTACATAGTAAAGAGAAATAAGTACAGTGACCACACATTACAAACTAGCTACCGCACACGCAGATATGTTGGAAACTAATCATAGCACAGGATATTTTTCAAAATTATTCCAGTCGATATTTTGGGAAAGTGACGGAGAGCGACAACTAATGACCTGTAAGCTTAAAAACTTCTCTTTCGAAATTATGTTAATGACACTTGAAATATGTTTAGTTTCACCTTTTTTAGTGAATTAGTAGGTTTCTAAAAGTTTATTTTACTAGCTGAGTAAATTGTGGAATATATTTTATTGTAGTAATCACGAACACCAAGTGACATTTTACTCTTTCACTATTAGGAATAGATTACAGTTCTTTCCAACCATTTACTTTACGTTTAGTTTTTTTATATAAATCTTTTCAATGTTCCAATATTTTCATTCATGAGTGAAATATCACCATCGTCATCCTTTCAACGCAGTGCATAACCTGCGCGCTTCCCGTTCATACAGGCAACTTTGTCCATTACTTTGTTACACTCGAAACTATTTCATCTTCACTGTTCATCATATTGCAACATATATGGTTATCACATATAATAAGTAAACAAAAGAACCAAAGGAAATACAGTAGTATAAAGAATAATAAATAATAGGGGATAATACTATGCTTTAGAGGAGAATAAAGTGTGTCTGAGTCAGTTTTATCCATTCTGTCTCAAGGACCCTAACTAGGAAGTGTATTGCTTCCATTATGGGTAAATTTTTGTTTTGATAAAGTCTCACAGTGTTATACAGTAATGTTTACTGATGACGTTTCGAGCACAATTTATTGCTCATAAGCATATCAAGGTAATCACACGACTTCCTAAATTCATTTATATAGTTCCATTGTTTTTCTCTTGATTTTCACTTGATTTGATTGGTAGTAGTATTTTCCATATTTCAGGTATGAGTGATGAGTCATTCCTATTGCATGTGTTGGGTGTATGGCTCTTATTACATTTAATTTATACATGAATTTGAGTTACCAGTATTAAGTATTGTAATACCTACTAGTGTTAAAGGGAGTTATGTAGATGACACTTTCACAGTGTTAAAAACAGAACACATCTCTAGCATCTTGACACATATAAACTGACAAGTTGAGGGAATAAAATTCACATTTAAATCAGAAAATGAACTAGGAGAATTAGCTAAGTTAGATTGTAAGATAAAAAGGACAGAAGAAGGCAAACTACACACTAGTGTTTATAGAAAACCAACGCATTCTAATAGATATTTAGACTTTAATTCGTCTCATCCTTTAACTGTTAAGGCAGGCTTAGTTAAATGTTTAACAAACCGAGCAGTGGCACTAAGTAGCACAAAAAAAGATCTAAATGATGAATTAAAACAGATAGAAGAAGCGTTGGTGTTGAATAACTATCCTATAAAATTCATTAGGAAGATCATTAAAGGCCAAAAACAAAATAAAAATAATTATGAAACTAGTAATAATAACATAAATAAGAGAGAATATAAGTCATCCACAGTTATACCATATAAAGAGGGAACATCTGAGACACTACGTAGGATTCTGAATAAAGTAGGAATTAGGGTGGCATTTAAACCTACAAACTCACTCAGGGACAAGCTCTGTAGGTTAAAGGACCCTGCAGGTTGACCCAATTAGAAAAAATTATATTATTTACAAAATACCATGCAATGACTGTGAGGTCAACTACATAGGTCAGGGGTAGTCAGATTGTCAGAACATAAGAATTTAGCTAAGGTAAGAATGGTTGACTCCGAGAAGACAAGTAATTTAGAAAAAAGCTCAGCAATTGCAATGCATGCATTAACACACAACCACATAATAGGGTGGGAGAGGGTTAAAATTCTAAAAAGTAATCTAGGTAGGTGGAGAGAGAGGTTGATTACTGAATCCTTTTTCATCGAGTCTACACCCAACACATGCAATAGGAATGACTCGTCACTCATACCTGAAATATGGAAAATACTATTACCAATCAAATCAAGTGAAAATCAAGAGAAAAACAATGGAACTATATAAATGAATTTAGGAAGTCGTGTGATTACCTTGATATGATTATGGGCAATAAATTGTGCTCGAAACGTCATCAGTAAACATTACTGTATAACACTGTGAGACTTTATCAAAACAAAAATTTACCCATAATGGAATTATACTCTACCACAGTGCACAAGTTTTATTCTTATATCAAGTGTATTGCTTTTTACATGGCTCAGAAAAACAGATGAAAATGAATGAGTTATTCGTGCATTGGATCAGATAGTTCTAGTTCCCATGAAATGTAGTCCCAATTTAACCAGATTAAATTGGCATTTGTTGTGTCTACAGTACAGCCATTCTACTGTACACCAGTAAAGATGACAGTAATCACACAACCGCAACCAGTGATAAGTTTAACTACTTGACAAAACATAGGGGTAACATAACATAGTTAACCAAGTCTGTAAAACAACTACTTAGGGTTTTATGAACGAGAAGTTGAAAAACTCACTTTACTAATAACTTACTTCTTTTAGAACGCTTCTTATAAAGAACTCTGTGTCCACATTCGAGGCAACGAACGAGTTCCCTGGGTCGGATTTCATTTTCAGCCCGGCATTCTAAAATTTAATGGATTTAATTACTTATGTTAAAATAATCAAATATAAACTAGTTAAAAACACGACAGCTTTGAAAGGACAGAATACTTATGTTTTTCCTAATTATAGCTTGATTTTACACCGTATTATTGGTACAAGTATGGAATTTTCAGCATGTGATGTCGGTAGTCCAAACTTATCGGGTCTAACAATTGATATCAAGTGTGCACCGGTCTGGGATCGAACCCCGGACTATGTGTATGGTCGGCGAGCGTCCGAACTAGTGTCACCGAATACAGCGTCCGTTAAATATGAGATTCGTATACACATTTTTATTCTGCAAGTATGTATTTCAATGAAGAGCCGTATACTCTCAAAGAACTTTAATGACCCAGAGGAATGGACATCTAATGACGTTATTTCTGTGCAGCTCAAAACAAGTAACACGTATAATAGTAGGTTTCACCTCATCCATTGTAGTATGGATAATTTATAGTTTCTTGAACGTTTGAATGTGAATTACGTTCCGGAAAGACACTATGCAAAGCTGGCCAATTCAAGTGATCAATGTAACTAGTGATAATTCGGAGAAAACAGACATGAATTTCAGACTCGTCAATAGCTTATGCATACCTTCCTTCCTACTAAGGATTATTCGTTTTGAAACTTATTACACCGAGAAAGTGACAAGTGGTTAAAATTTATACATGAATTTGAGTTACCAGCATTAAGTATTGTAATACCTACTAGTGTTAAAGGGGGTTAGACGACATATACGCGAATAGTAGGTGTCCAGTTACGTCTTTCTCAAGCTTCACTCTAATAAATATAGTTCTGAATTTTCGTAGAACTTTAACAAGTGAAGGTTTGTGGGACGTTGAAAAATATTGTAAATTATGCAGTTAGTAGCAACAACAGCAATAATAACTGCTACTGTAGGTATTTTGATAGTTTTTAGTAGTAGTAGTAGTATGATGGAAATAAAAATGATGACAGTACTAGTAATAATATCACTGATAAGAAAAACAAAAATATCCGAAGAGGCAATACTGACCATGTAGGTATTTTAATAAAAAAAGGGGAAAATGTGATTAGGTTTGGTACGCAGTTTGCATTTGTCAGATGTATAACTGGTCTGCACCGGTTTCCAATTTAAAAATGGAGAGTAGAAAGGTTGAATGTATTAGCCACTCTGTTCTTTCCAGAAGTCACTAAAGAAACCTCAGTACGTAAATTGAAGGCTTATATAATATCTCTCGACTTTATCTTTGAAATCCACATTGTACCTACCTACCTACCCTACTTTTCTCGTCACGGTTTACAGCTGTGAGGTACAGTTCATTGCAAGTAGAAGAGATTAGAGGTTTTGAAATCCTAGGTGCCTTTGTTTGGTTGCTTGTGTTAGGTGGGACAATACAGTTATTAATAATGAGGTTAGAAAAAGAATTTATAAAGTCTCACCAACTGAAATATCTTGGATAAGTATAACATATGCCAAATCACTTCCATCCTCCACTGGTAATGTTAATTGAAGTAGAAATGGGTTAGCAAATAGTCAGTATGAATCCAGTGACCTGAATCATGTACAGAGTAGTAGACTATTTGACTGATGTTTTGAATATCGCTCGCAATGATGCAAACGTGTCATGCAGAACGATAGGTTTGAATGTTTCTAAGGTTACGTTCAAGTGGATAAGGGGGAGTATGCTTGTTTCAAATTCGTATTCGGAAATAAATGCTTCCAGTTCCTAAAGAAGCACCTAATTTTGTATATCGTAACATCATTTCATTACCATACCCTTAATATATGCTTTTCCGAAATGTGACAGCTTTCTGTGCGACTTTCTATGTTTATTCCTCAAATTAGTCATTATTTTATAACCCACTATAGTAGGAAAGGCATTTATAAATTTTTTCTATCCGAATTGTAATGCTACTGTTTTACTTTCCCCCAATTTTAATCATCTCATTATTTTGCTTACTTGTTATGGAGATGTGAAGTGCATTAACTAGAATCAGCACGCAGTAATGCCAAATTCCATCTTGATAGAGACTCACGAACTCAGAACTGTCATGATTACATTGTTTACGTCACAGAAGGCTTCAACTAGAGAACCGTGGGAAACTAGAGAACATTAAGTAGCGGTTGAGAAATAAAAATGAGGTTTGCGACCTACTAGATGAAGGTCACTGTTTAATCAACTGAGCCACGGTACCACCTGACAGTTGTTTTGCCTGAGGTTGAAATTGGGCAATATGAATCTACCATCCTGAGAAGAACTGACTCAGGCACCGCAATTTTCCTGCTTTCTTGGTGTCATTTATAGTGTCAAGTGTGTCGCATATTATGGTCGAAGTACTTTGAGTTTCTAAAGGAAAGCGTGGGGGCTACTTGCATCTTGAACTGAATAATCTGCAAATGAAGAATTTTCAATTTGCTCGAGTATTCAACCACAATTCAGGTAGTTCGAATTGATTTAGCTCCCCGAACTGATCACCTCGACCTCGCCAACAAGCACTGCTATTTGATGTGAATGATTCTAACTTTAGTACTGTACAGTGTCATTATAGGATTTAGAAAGGATGTAATGGCCTATGACTTATAACTTCCTGTTTGAGATAAAAAGCAACTACTGTTGTTAGTTAGTTATTCATAAGACATGTGGTATTGTGCACGCAACTTTATGTAAGCAAGGTGTTTTTTTAAGTTATAGTTTTCAAACTTTCCTAAATTACTATAAACATTATTGCTGTAATCCCTACGACAACTGAAGAGGGCTTTTTTGTTACTCGAAGTTCAGCCAAACATTTTTGGTTGTTATAAATGAATAGCCATTCTACATCTGTATACTAACATTATTTTAGACACTGATGTTTACTAGGTAGCGTCGTTCTTTTGGGTATTTTTTCCGCTTTACCCTGCGAGGCATTCAAGCTTTAGTTGAGAAAATCTATGCATGGAAGTCAACCATTAGTCATAACAGCAAATACAGAATTATGTGGATCAAGCACTCAAGAAATCCAGTAGCAGCTGAAATACAATCTCAGAATTGTATCTGGAAAAGTAGGTAACAATAGTCGTTGAATATCCCATACCAAAACAAAAAACAGCAACTTTGTAAGAGGTTGGGTGATGGACGAAAGCCTTTTGTTTTTATCTTATCTTTTTATAACGGATAAATGGTGAGTCACACATTCTTTGGGTCGAAGATACCTACTAGAGGGTCTGAATCTGTACATTGACTCATTCTATAGCTCTTGGTGGCAACCACTTGTGTATGACACTGAAGTTGCCACAATATTTCCTTGCATTGACGAAAGCAAACAGATCTACTGTAATTATAACTGCTACAAGAGGACTGGGCGTTGTCAGTTCGAACTAGAGTAACACAGACATTTCGAAAGTAGGGAGTTTTTAATTTTGATTCCGTAGTCATCCGAAGTAAAATAAAAAAATTGAAACCTTATGAAGGTTGAAGTCAAAAATAACAGCTGATCCACCTAACATTAATATATTTATAGCCAAGTTATGATGGGATTTTGAGAAATACCTACAATATCACAACTAGATGGATGCAGATGTTTTTTACCTCCTACTTAGAAATGCTATGTCACGAAGCGAATGAGCTGCTGACAACCAAGAAATCAAGGCCACATTCAGATCAACGATCGGGTGGTTGCTGACTGGCTGGTTTCAACACAGAACTTTGCACCGATGTCCAGCATTTCGAGTCGCCACATTTCACTCATCACACAAAACAACAGAAGTAAAAAGAAACACAAAATAGAGACAGTAAACAGTGATATGAGGTAAGAACAATATAGTTTTATTGGGTAGTATAAGTCACAAGGAGTGCACCTGCACTATGCATTGAGAACAATTTTAAGACATCACCAATTGCCTCCAGCCACTGGTGTTTACCGTCCCGAGAACCCCAACCAGGAAGTCTACACCTCCCTACGTGGTTTAGACTAACTGTTGTAGATTTCATTGACTGGTGCCATGTTTTGGTTTGACCGCCGCTAGCACTTTTCCAGCCTGACCCTATGTCAGCTAACATTGCCCGTCTGTCGAGAAAGGCGATGACTAGGCCAGAATGCGTAACACATGTCCTAACCATCTCAGTCAATGTAATATCACAACCTCGTCTATCGATTTCCCCTCCTTACCTAGCACTCAACGCCTAATCTTGATATTACTCACCCTATTGTACCATTTCACACGGGAGATAGAACGCAGGCACCTATGATTAAAGACAAGTAGCCAGCCTTTTCATGTCTTCCACTCTCAGTGGCTAGGTCACACAGCCATAAAGGAGGACGGAGTGGACTGCTGAGCAATACACACACCCTTTGATATCACGTCTACGCCAGAGACGGCGTAAACTGGCGTATACGAAACTAACCTGTATGTGCTGCGATTTCGTCAGCGATCAACACTCTGGCACTGGTTGATGCAACTTCCCAAATAATGAAGTGGTCAACGTGCTCTACCACTTCACTCCTTATTTCTATGCTAGGAGTCAATGTAGTCCTGTATTGTAACATCATCTTACACTTGGCGGAGGAGGGATGATTATATCACTTGCATATTCTAAGTCAACGAGATTATTCCCTGTTAACAAGCCAATCCCTGAGTCGCTGATGTCACTTAGAGTTAAGTCTATTAGTACATTTATGATGACATTGAATAGAAATGGGGATAGTGGGAATCCCTGAGGGGCACTACTAGTTGTCACCAGTTCAGATGACAATTCACTGTGAGCTTTCACCTGGCTGCATGAGTTCGAGTAGAGTGCCTTGATCAGCGCAATGTACTTTCTCGGCATTCCCTTCACAGTCAGACATCGCCAGAGTACCTCTCGGTCGACAGAATCGAAGGACACCTTTAGGTCAGGAAATGTAACGATTGTTAGACACCGGTAAGTATGTCTATGTCCCAGAATCTATCGAAGGGTGGAGATGTTTAATACACCTTCCCGGTCTAAAGCCTGCCTGGTTCTCTCGTGTTTGTTCCTCCCGAGCACTACTCGAGAGGCGACTTGAACTGCTGTATATCGGTGCAAAGTTTCATGTTGGAACCAGTCAGTCAGTCATATAATTTACTGGCAGCTAAAAACTCGATAATTTAAACGTTTGATGAAAAAATGCAAGATAAACTGAAGAATGTTAACGAACGTTAATTAATATCTTGGGAAGAATTGATTTCATTTAAGAGACAAGTTACTTATACTACTTGAGGGTTTTCTGTCACTCTGAAATGACTTACACAGGACCATTTACTGCTGGATCTGTAATACATCTGGATGGCTTTCTAACCTGGTTCACCAACACGATAAGCAAACACCTAACACAGTTTACATAGCTGAGAGAGAATATTACAATTACATTTGTCCTATATTATATTCAGGTATAGGTATATTAGTTTATAAACACACAAAACACAGTGAAGTCAATATACCATGTCAATACTATAACGCTTTTGAAGCTACTATTGACGCACGTTAACTGCCAATCTACTTAATTTTCCTATTTTGCCGATGTATGTAAATGTTACGACACCGTTGAATGCTTTAAGACTATATTGTTTAGAAAACTTGAAGGAACATGCGAAAATCTCGGTGCCTCCGAAGGAAATGCTATTCCTGATTGCAACTAAATTTATCGGGATAGCTTATACAATTCACTCAATCTTCACGAATTACACAGTAAGGGAATTCGAATGGAAGGTAGATTTCCCACTTCCTTCTCTTAAAAGTCTCGAAAATTCTTCCCCTGGAAACTGCACCTGCGAAGTGTCTTCACCTGACCCAATTCAAGAACCTCAATCACACCCTAGTGAAGTTTTGACATTGTCATACAATCATGAAGCAAAGTAACGTTTGAAAAAACCAGTGAACCGGAACTCAACTAGGGCAATTTATCCAACAAGGTCTCGAGGTTCAGTACTTACATGTGACTCCCTAGCCGTTAAATTGCAGTACGGGACCAATCAACACGCCTATTTACACTACATTTTAAAGAAGCACATCCACCGTTCACATTTTTGGTCAACTTTATTTCCTGACAAGACAAAAGATACTGAAAGAAACTACCGACATTGTGAACACTTAATTGATCTTTGTCGATTGCATAGAGATTTTCGAATGTTATAAAAAATTTCGGAACAGATAAGTACAGTGTCTATGGGTTGTTGCAACAAGTTGCCAGGATTTTGGAGTTTTTTCATGGATTTCCTAGAGTCCGTGTTCTGAATCAGAGCATCTATCAAAATGTCTTACCGTTTGCATGCCTGTTATCTGTAACAAAAAAGCATATGAAGTAGGCTGACAGTTGACGTGTGTAAATAATGACTTCGAAAGCGTTGCACCTCCTAACCAACTGAGGTTTTAATACAGCTAGAGAGTACCACTCTAGGAATTTTGATCAAGGACTATAATTCCGTTAATCTTAAGTGGCAGGTAAAAAATTTCGGTTTTATTGAAATATTTGCTGGGTTTCATCAAGACTAGTCGTCAATCCTCAAAAAGAAAGCATGCAATAATACATATAGTTAACTGACCTCCACATATATATGACACTGTTTTTGGCAGGTGTGGTACAGCATTTCCAGATGGGGTACCAGGAACATCGATTTTACTCTCCATATCCCGCTGAACAATTCAGTATTTCTTATTCCTTTACGACTCAGTAGCAGCACGACCTTGTAGCGCGTCAATTTGTTTGGAGGTAATAAAGCTGAACATTTCCAATGTACACTGCCTACTTTATATGAGCAAAATATTCCCGTTTTCTGTGAAACATTTTAAGTATTTACTGTTTGAAGTTTTATATTCCATTCTTTCTATTCATCTTCGGGATTCATTCATTCATCTTATCGGTTTGGTTCTCAAAAATTAGCATGTAGCGGTAGATAATTCCGCAAAATGATTAGCCACAGCATTCATCATTCAGCACTAGATGCCGACCTTCCCTGTTTAAGCCGAATCGCTTAGACAAAGGCCTTTTGGAACACCTTCGTGATACATTAGGCTGTTCATGCACGACCCTTAGCCACTTTGGCAGTCATCCTCGCACTACGACTTTGGTCCAGAAGTACACTTGGTATTTTTGGTGGTCAGTCTGGTGTTTTGCCTTGTCTTTGGTTCACGCGGAACGAATGCTGTAGGATTCGTGGGTGTAAGGTCTTACGTTAGCACACATCGTACTATCCGTGAACATCAAAACCCTCAACCTCCCAAAGTACTTTAACAGTGGATGGCATTCAGAGGTATACTTTTAGTCCTTTTGCCCTCAGAATATGTCATATGAGAGTGAATTCTACGTATTTATTTGTGTCACCTTAAACTCGAATTGTTCTTATGATGTGTCCGGCTTATCCCTCCCCTCTCCTTATAACATTCTTACTTATAATCTTTTAGAGTGCAAGTGGAACACAGGGCTTCAAAATTGCATCTCCATTTCATCCTGTTTTCTGCTGTCATTATAGGATCTACTCTATCTCACCTTCGGACATCCAACCCATCGTTTCCAGTTAGTGTTTCAAGTCAGGTTCTGCCGCAAGATGTCAATCAACAGCCTCCTGATCGTGTTTCCGACCACATTTTCTCCGTTGGGTGATATGCTCATAACTAGTTTGTTAGATGTATTTTCCGAAACGTGACAAGTTTCCAACGCATTTAGAAGAACTCGCTTAACATTAGCGTTGAAAATCCGAATCTCGTTTGTGCTGAGTGCAGCAGGTTTCCCAACTGATTTCATAGAGATAAAGCCGTGCCTCCTCCTTCTGATTCCGGATATGACATCCTCTTCCGTTCCGACTGGCTGCCGTTGAAAGCCAAATGATAATGACTGATACCTGTAGCTGTTGGTTGGTTATTTTCATCATCTCCATCGTATCGACGTCCAGTCTTTACCGCCTTTTTTGCCAAAATGTTGGTTTCCTCTCGTATATCACCGAGTTTGTGCGACCTAAAAATTAAATCATTAGTAAAATCCGAATCTTATAAGGCCTTTTTGTGGCAATGCCACATGTCTGTCTTCTCACTCTCCACAATCTACTGAACGATCCAGTTCACCTCGGTCAGGAAGATCCCCAGTGGTAGCAGGCCGCCCTGTATTCCCTCAAAGGGTTTCGCCTAGCTAGATACGAATAAATATATATCCGCTGTGAACTGTTTGGCATGCGGCACCATAACTTAGCTTTTGGACGAAGTCTGCAAATGTATGTGCTCCGCACTCCACATTGTTGGGTCAGTTACCGAATTGCCTGACGGTTGAGGCCAACAAAGGCCTTTTCAAAGCCAATGAGACTGAGATGAAAAGTTAGATTCCATTCCAAAATTTGTTCAGAGGTGATGCTTTGTGTCACAGTGTGATCTAACCATGGCTGATTCTTCACGAATTCAGACTCTTTTGGGAGGAGTCTTGCACCCGAGTTATCTCTCCAGGACAATGTAAGTTTGCAATTTTCTTGGAGTGAACAGGGCATGATACTGTACACGTTCTTGCGCATGCTTGAATCGCCCTTTTTGGTGCTTCTCCTGATCAACGTGTACAAATCTTTCCTTCCACAACTTTGATTTAGGGGCGTGGGCATGTCCTTTGAGGTCTGTAAGTTCGTTTTCACTGCTCATAGAGGAATTGCGTCTGTTTCGGCTGTTTCTCTGGCTGTCTTCCAGCAATTCTATGACATTAAACGTCTCTAGCTTTGTCGAGGGACCGGTCTTCACGGACACTTCCGTGGTTGTTGGTACTATTCCCATGCGAGTTTCAGGTGGTGGTTGATTCAAGAGTCCTTTGTAGTTATCAGTTCATCGTTTCCTTTGTTCACCGCCTTTGGTGAATTCCTTGGTTTCGTTTGTGCCGGCCTTTTCCGCTTGCTCATTCTGCATGGAATTCTTATGCCCCCCTCCCGGAATATTACTCGGAATGCCTTCATGTAACCATGCGTCTGGTGATCTACTGGGAAGGACTTGTCACAAAAGTCACTGACACGTAGTATGTTGTGAGAGTGTGACGGGTCCAAAAGCAATGCAGTGCAAAAAATGCAGTTATTGCAAAACATTTCGAAGCCTAACATCAAAAAGGAGAGAGAGGCGCATGCTGATCAACATATATGGTTGAGGTCACTAGTGTGCATCATTCAAATATGTAGGACGGGAGCATTCATTTTTTGACAGCCCTGGGATTAAACATGAGTTTAGATACTTAACACAAAAATCAATGGTGATTATTCATATCTAAGTAAAAAATAATGCCTTTGATCCTAACATCCACAAGTCTGCTCAGCCTCTTGTCCAGATACGACCCCATGTGCCCTGTACATATTTGTGAAACATCTAATGGGTTAGCATGTTCTAATTGTTCTGATTTTTCAGATCTTTGAAGCCACTTCAGACTTAACAAGCCTGCATGAGGTCTTCCTATGATCCAAAGATAATGTTTAGTGAGCTTAAAAACATGCATACAGAGGATATTCGTCGAAAATTTTATCGAGATGTTGTCTGTGCATCGAAACCACATAGCCAGGGTTTATCTGTTATCCTCGTAAATGCTAGATCAGTTCTAAACAAACACTCAACACTAGGTACATCAGCTTCTATGTGCAGACCATCATTGATTATGATCACTCAAGTCTGGTACACAAGTGAAACCCCCAATGACAGTCTAAGAATTGATAACTACAATCTTTTTCGAGGCGACAGACAGACAGGTCGTGGGGGTGGAACACTAATCTACTGTGGACAATCCGTGTGTGCAGCCCATTTCAGTAACCCAGTTCTGTCGCTACTAACTGACTCAATCTGTGTCGAAATAAACGTTGTCTGAAGTAAACCTGTACTTGTGGTTTGTGTGTACCGACCCCCTTCATCTAACAAGGGGTGTGATTATATGCTCAGCAACATTTTAAATGTTATAGCCAGACTTCCTTTCATCTATAAAATTATTGGAGGTGATTTCAACAGGCCAGAAGCATAATGGCCTTCACTCTGAGGAACGCAGAGGTATGATAATCTCCTGAATTCCATCGTCATAGAATGGTGGACACAACACATTGATTCACCCACTAGATCCATAAATATCCTACTCTTTATTCTCAAGAAGAGCAAACCACCATCTACAGTACATGTGGGACATGAATTTCAAGGTGGTGACCATGAGTTTGTAGTGTGTAAATTTAACAACTTTCCCGGAACAAAACTCAGAGATGAAGCTGACCAGACATCCATAAAATTATATACACACGCTGACTGAGACTTGTATCAGAATCTAATTAGATGCTCTAATTGGGGCTTTTCTAACGATACCTAAGAGCCAATTCTTCGAAATATATATATATATATACATCTAAATATAAAGTCAGTTCATGATGTCACTCTTCCTGAGAAGATTCTGCGCTTCAAATTCCACCAAAGCAGTTATATTCCGACATCTTTAAGAAGAAGTTTACGAACTCACTTAATAATGTACCACAGATTACATCACTTATCAGCATTAATTGCTATTATGTCACTTCTCACCAGGATTCGAAAGTTAAGCTTACTAACACCATTGGACCAGACGGCATATCTTTCATTCTGCTGGAAAACGATGGCAATGACATGAATTCATTCTTGCTCAAGTTATACTCAATTTCACTAAGCCACGGCACACATCGTATCTGCTGGATGGAGTCTTATATGGTACCTATCTATAAATACGGGCCCATAGCTGATGTCAACAACTACCGCCTCATCAACATCTGTAGTTTCATATGTAGTAGGGTCGATAGTAAGGACTTAAACCAATCAGTACTTTCAATCAAATGACCCAATATCCTCACCTTAATACGGTTGCAAGTGATGCATTACTTGTGACTTAGATTATTTCCATCACATTACACAATGCATACATAATGGGCATTCAGTAACTACATTACTTCTCTAGGTTAGCAGAGCATTTGTCATGGGTTCACGCATAAAGTAGTGTGTCATCATCTCTCAAGCACGTTGTGATCAGTTATGCGATCAATCATTCATCACGGCCGTGAAGCCGACTTTGTTGATGTGAAGAAAGTTTAAAAATAACATGTTTTGTTTTCCTCATGATTGTTGTTGTGACTACAATATACAGTCACAGGTCAGCCTTTGTCCTTTGATATTTGTGTGGCTGAGTGAATCGCAAGGTACAACAGGCAGATGGGCATATTAGGCAAGCACAGACGTAATGGTCCCCATTTAATTCAGTATCAGGTATAACACAGAAAAATTTACACATATCAAATGCTTAACAAAACTCAAATCCTACAAATTAATTGGAAAGCTTCTCAAATTTATTAATCCTGTTCTCACAGAAAGAGAGCAGTTAACCAATATCATTCAACAGCCGTGTCCATGCAGTTGAAGATTGAACGATCAGTTCATGGTTGTTTGCTCAAACCCGACTTCCCATGATTTTCGCGGGTAGTCAATCTTCCAGTCATCGTCTCATCGGTCGCTGTTCAGAAAGAAGTTAGAAAAAACTGTCAGAAGTAATATCGTCATTTATTGTTGTAATATTTGTTCTTAGACTCTGTTCTGTAATGCTGGTTATATGTTGGTGTTAGAATACAGAATTCTCGAGTCGCCAGTCTGTGTTCTGGTTTGTGCGTCCGTTAATACTAAGTGGTTCTTAAAATCATCGAAGGACAGCGTGAGGCCCAGCGTAGCAAGAGCTGGGCATTAACGGTTTATGAGACGTGATTGACAGTTTCTGATAGTTTTCGATAGTTTCTTGCAGTTTGAATAGTTTCCTTTCGTCTTTCATGGTGCTTGCAAGTCTTGTGGAGTCCTCAAAAATAAACTTATCCAAATTTTACTACTATGTAAATAATGAACATATTGTACACCACTTTGTTTTAACCATAAACTCTGTACTTTGACTTTACCTCGGGTTTTGATTAAATATATAGTTCTGCTTTCGACTCTCCGTCTTCTCCACCATCTCAACTGCCGTCGATCAATTTTAATCACCTGCTTTCTATCTCAAATGTTTGCAGGAGCACCGTAGTTCTTCCTACGTACTTTGGTCGA